TATTTGAAAATTAGGCATAAGAGTCACAAGAAATACCAACAAATGGTAAATTTAATCATTGGTTTTATTTATTTTTACTCTAAACATGAATCATTATTAGCTCAAAAAGACACAGCCATGTGGATCTTCAGAATGAGCTGTTGTTGTTAGGTGCCACTGAGATAGTTTTGACTCATAGCTACCCTGTATACAACAGAATGAAACACTGCCTGGTCCTGCACCATTCTCACAATCATTGCTAAGCTGAGCCATAGTCATAGGCACTGTGTCAATCTACCTCATTGAGGGTCCTCTCCATTTTTACTGACCCTCTACTTTACCTACCATGATATCTTTTTCCAGGGACTAGTCCCTTCTGACAACATGACAAAGTATGAGAGATGAAGTCTGGCCATTCTCACTTCTAAGGAGCATTCTGGCTGTACTTCCTCCAAGACAGGTTATGTTAGTTCTTCTGGCAGTCCATGGTACATTCAATATTCTTTACCAATATCACAACTCAAATCCATCAATTCTTCTGCAGTCTTCCTTATTCATTGTCTAGCTCTCAATGAATATAAGGCTATCGAAAATACCATGGCTTGAATCAGGCACACCTTAGTACCTTAGTCTTCAAAGTGACATCTTTACTTCTATACATTTTAAAGAGGTCTTTTGTGGCAGATTTACTGAATGCAACATGTCATTTACTTCTTGACTGCTGCTTCCTTCACTGTTGATTGTGAATCAAAGTAAAATGAAATCCTTGACAATTTCAATCTTTTCTCCATCTATCATGATGTTGTTTATTGGCCCAGTTGTGAGGATTTCTGTTTTCTTTATGTTGAACTGTAATCCATAGTGAAGGATGAGGTCTTTTCTCTTCAACAGTAAATGCTTCAAATCTCTTAACTTTTAGCCAGAAAGGTTGTATAATCTGCATATTTCAAGTTGTTAACGAGTTTTCCTCCAATCCTCAGGCCATGTTCTTCTTCATATAGTTCCATTTATCAGATTATCTCCTTAGCATACAGATTGAATAAAATATGTTGAAAGGATTCAACCCTAAC